TCGAGAGCTCTATGATGACTTACACAATCTTTCGGAAGTTACAATTGCTGAGAAATCGATTACAACACACAAGAGATCTACAGCAGATGGAAAACAAAGGAGGACAGACACTGGAAMTAGCTCTGCAAAGTCAACCTACCCAATATGCGATGCACCAGAGCACAACACACAACTTGGTGACATGTCCCTTTGCAGCAATGGGCCTGTTTGGACGGTCAGGGATGCTAAAATGATGTCGGAAATGTATGGCGTTTGGTTGAACGGAAAGGTTGACAATWAACAGAACAGGCGTGACTTTGCTAAATGCCATCTAGGCAATGTTGGAAGAGAAAATCTTATAGMGTGTGACCTTTCTGATTACTACATTGGAGGCTTCCATCTTGCCGTGAGGTCAGCTGAATCAATTTGTAATCGTATTAGTCAGTGTATAACAGGTAAGAACAAAAACAATAGCAAATRATATAATTTCTGTAAAAGTAGATAGCAAGTATCATTTAGTATTTCAAAGGCATCCTGTTTGTGGGTAATTTACTGCCATTCAAATTGCTACTRTACCAAGCCAGGTGTAGAATTACCGAAATACCCTTTCTAATCACTTTTATTCATACCTCCACTGGATTCAGTATTTTATTAGTTTGATGGTAGTAACTGCCTTTTGTAATGTAGCAATGCAGATGGCATGTACTCAATCATCCACATTAATTTTTAACAATTTTGTTAAAAGGACTCAATGCCTCGTCCAAACAATACTACCAGGCACTATCTAAGCTGGCACGCACTGTAAAGAAAGAGGAAGAAACAGTCAAGTTTGATGAAATTGGTGTGCTAGCCTTTTCAGAAAAAATGCCTAATGTCCTTAAAGATGCTGGTCTGTCTTCAGATACACTTGATGTGTTATCTTGTTTCACTGCTGGTTTGAGTCCCATTTTTCAAGCCCTAATCGATACCCCTTCTTCTCTAACTGGTGCTCAGTTTGCATGCCTAGCACGTATTCTTCTTGGTTTCCAATTCATTTTCATTTTTGGAACAAGTTGTGTCACTCCTTCAATCAAGCAGATCGTTGTATACACGTCATACTACATTGACAAAGCTAGAGAGGATGGTGAATTGGTTGGTTTGCCATTGAAGTTCAGCAATTTTTCAGATGCTTTAATGGAAACACAACATAAATATGCAAAGGGAGGTACCTTTTTGTATAGTGGAGGCAGACAGGGAACAACAAGTTCCATTGAATAT